ACAAGGAAAAATAAACGTAAAAGATATAAAGCAGAGAGAAATCTAGAGAGTTAATAACTAATAACCAGTATTAATATGTGGCTCAGGGTGTAACAGGTCAAAACCAGCAACAGACTGCTAGCTGACTCACCTGGGTGAAATCTCGTCACTATGCCGACCTCTAGAGGTTTGGTTTCCCACCCTTCCCAACCTTCAGGATTTTCCCGCTGGATACTTTCGCTTTTTTTCTCCCGTTTTATCGCGATCCTGAAGCCTTCCGTTCGATTAATTGAGGTAATTTCCAAGCTGAGAAGGTTCACGCAAAATTCCGAACACGCCCGGTGTAGCGCAGATCAGGTCACTTCCAATCTTCCAGGATGTAGAGGCCTCGGCCTTATGGTTGTCCTGACTCTGGCTCGATCTCGTCGGTAGACCGATCGAGCTGTTTGTATGTCCGGCTTGCAGCACGGTTGATAATTCCGCGACCGTCCGATGATGCGGGATTCGGATGTAGTAGGAGTCGAGTCTGCTATTGGCAAGGCTAAAAAAGAAAGGGAACATGTTGTCTCACGTACACTTAATCGCAAGCGCTCCTGCGTGTGCATGCTGAGCATTCGCACCACGTTGTGTCAAACGTGGGGTGAGGAGAATAAAAGAGGGAGCTTATTTCCCTACTGTTTTAGGTCACTTCTGGAAGTGTTTCGACCCATACTCTATCTAATTCCATTTAGAAGGCTTGCACTGTGGTCAGCTGAACGAGTCTTCCGGGGGTCAGGTCAGTTCAAGTCAGTTCATTTCGCACAGGACGAAAGAGGTCGAGACCAATAGTGCGTCCAGATCGTTGTGTTGTCAGCTAGTTTCCTTGGTTTCCAACACTGCTCGTCAAGGATTCGTTCTGCTTTTTTCTGAAAGGCAGAGTATTTAGGTGCAGTATCTCATCCACAGGTCAGGTCAGGTTGCACAGGCAGGCCATGAGAATTCCGGTATCAGATTAACTATATAGGGGTTATGATCGTCCCATCCACTAACCGCTCAGCTAGGTGTACACCTAGACTGCAGGCACTCCCTATTTTCTTTCTTTTTCTACAGGTACCACTTATCTGCATTACACTATACCAGCTGCGAAAGTACCAGCTGATCCGGAAAGTTTGCCCAAGTCGGCAGCCAGGGGCCCACAAAGCGGCTCGTAAAGGATTCTCTGTCGTCGAAGCATACGTGGGCGAACGTTACCCTCGCGGTGCAAGAACCTGGACTAAATTAGCATCAGCCGCAAGTCCTGTGACCCGACCTGACATGACCTGACCTGACCTGACTGGTAGTGGCCATAGGCCAATCAAGCGCCCAAATTCCTCCGGTGGTATGCTCACGAGCGTGCAACCACCCCTCCAATTGATCTGTTTCTTCGCCTAGCTGCAAACAGTGAGAAAAAGAAACCTTACCTCTCGCCGTGTCGGCGAGAGACTTTTAGTCAGTCACTCAGTCATTCAGTCAGTTTGCACAGGACAGGAGAGGCCACGGCCGATCAAGCGTCCAGATGTCCACCGGTAGTAAGCAACGTACCGGCCCCTACCACTGCGAGTGTTCTATATTGTAGTTCTACACGGTTCAGTTGCCTCCGTTTCTGTAAAGGAAGAGAAAAGAAAAAATATCTTCTCCCCTTGTTCAGGCAAGAGAACTCACATTTGGAAGCGTTCCTCGGATGCGGGTGGTTAGTAAACGAAAAACCCACCCCTGTATCCGGCCTCAACCTATGCGTCCATTTCGGGAAATAAAGTCAACTAGCGCTTATCAAGCTCCTTCTTGAAAGCATGTACTCTCTCTAGCTCCACCAGCTGTTGTGGTAACTTATTCCACGCGTTCACTACCCTGTTGCTGAAGAAGTATGAACGCACCGCTAGTCTCATGCGCAATTTCTTCAGTTTGTACATATGCCCCCTAGTATTGCTTTCTCTCCTCTCGAAGAACACCGTTTGATCCATGCCTGATAGGTCATTCATAATTTTGAATGTCTCTATCAAGTCACCTCTGAGTCTTCTTATCTCCAAGGAGAAGAGCCCAAGATCCTAGAGTCTCTGCTTATACGACTTCCCTCGCTGTCTCTCGATCATCCTCGTGGCTAATCGTTGGACCTCCTCGAGACAATCGGCGTTTTTTTTAAGAAGGGAGCCCAGGTTTGTATACAATACTCTAAATGTGGTCAAACAACGGCTTTATACAAGGGTACGAATACCTCCGTTTTCCTACATATTAGTGTCGACCTCAATCTAAACAGCTTTCTGCGGGCACGATGAGCCGCTGAGGCACATTGTTCCGCCCATTTGTAGTCTGCTGTCACTATGATTCCTAAATCCCTAGCTTTCTGAGTGGTTCCTAGATACAGACCGCTATGACTACCCCCCACTATCAGCTCCTCATCTCCAGTGGTCAAAACATGACTCTTTCCTATGTGGAGAGGCAGATCCCATGTACTTGACCACTTGAGCACTTCTATGTCCCTCCCTAGTTCCTTTCTTCCATCTGATTCTACCAATTTGACGTCATCCGCGATGACATCCGGAGTCAAATGCTTTGCTAAAGTCCAGATAGCATACTTCAACTTGTATACCCTCGTCTAATCTCATTGTGACTTCATCTAAAAAGTGCAAGAGATTGCTCAGAAACGATTTGCCGTTCAGAAACCTATGCTGTGCCGCCATCTGCAACCGGTGCTGAGTGAGGTATTTGCATGAGGGGGTTCTGATAATTCTCTAAAGCGCTTTGCTCGAGATGTTTCTGAAACCAACTGGGCGATATTTTTATACCTTGTGTCTCGTCTCTTCCTTGTGTTTGGCGACCACAGTTGCTATTTTCCAGTCCTGTGGTATCCTGCCCTGTTCTAGAGTTTTGTTGAACAAATGGCCCCCTATAACCTCAGCTATGTGTTTAACTAAGGCTGGGTGGATGCCCTCTGGTCCTGCGGATTTGTTGGCGTTGAGCTCACCAAGAGGCCTGTGCACCTGATCCAGCCCCACGTATAATTCGGGGATACCCCGTCCTTCGGTGCGGAGGTCAGGTTGTGCAGTGACGATTTGATCTATCCTGTGTACGCTTCTGAAGTATTCCTTAAATCGCACTGATATATCTACCTCTCGGGCTACTACTCTTTGGCTGGCATTTGGCACAATTTGCCAACTTGAGCTCATACTGCCGTTGAGCTCGCGCTGAGTTGCCGCTACTTTGTTCCTATCCCTGGTGTACTGCGCCCAGGATCGGTGGCTGCCCAAGCAGAAGCACGATATTTGCCTTGATCTGGCCCAAATGCTAGTCTACAGAGTCGTTTTCTTGGATAGGAGTCCACACTAGCTCCACAGCTCGCCCTCGTCTTAATTAGTAGGTCTAGTAGAGATGGACTATCTCCATCTCTGTACCTAGTGCACTCCCGGACATGTTGCCTAGGGCCCTCGAGTGAATCCATTCTAAGAATGCGCTCTCCGCTGTTTTTGTTGATGCCCGCTCAACCACCCAATCGAGTTTTGGGAAATTGAAACCTCCCAATATACAAATTCCTTGTGAGTGTCTGTATAAGCTATCTAGGGTGCATAGGAGTGCCTGGTTCTCCTCGAGTGTGCATTCTGGGCTTCTGTAGACTCCCGACATGCTAACCCTTCTCGAAGGTAGAACCAACAAAACGGAGCACACCTGGACATTTCGGGTGCACTGCGCTATTTTATCTTCGTGATAGAGTATATCATTTCTGACTAGGACAGAAAATCCACCCTCCAGTGGACCCGTTTTCATATCCTGCCTGTGAACAGTGAACCGGCTTAAGACTGGTTCGGGTATGTGGTCGTCCTGCATTAGCCACGTTACAGTCATAACAACTACCTCTGCCTTTGTTCTCTCAGCCACTGTGGCCAGCTCTGCCCACTAATTCCTAATACTGCACGCATTGGCGTGCAATATTACCAATGCTTTCCCATCCCCTAATGAGTGGTGCTTGTTTACTCAGATCAGGTCAGATTAGATGGCACTGGACGATAAAGGCTTTCGAAAACCAAGCGTCCAGATTCTTGTTCCAGCCGGAACCACGTTTTTCCGGATCTTCGAATTCTTGTCGACCGTTTGACCGCAGCCGATTTCTTCGTTTGGAATAGCCTCCTATATAGGGTCCGTATCTGAAAGGGGAGTTTATTCGAAAATAGGCAGCATGGAACACCTACTCACAATAGTAGGCACTCTACTAATTCTCGGGACAGACGCTGATCCAGACCCCATCTAATTGCCTTTTGAACTCCTCGACTGTCCTCCAGTCTAGTATTGAACATGGTAGTTGGTTCCATTCATCTAACACTCTACTTTTGAAAAAGTTCTGCCTAAGGTTGAGTCAACTCCTGCGCTTCATTAGCTTCAGATGATGCCTCCTTGTTGACTCGAGCGGTGCTCCGGTAAACAGGCTGTCCGCCTCTAGCCCAGTCAGCCCCTTCGTTATTTTGAAAGTCACAATAATGTTGTCTCTCAGGCGTCTCCTCTCCATGGAGAAAAGTCCTATGGATTCTAATCGCTCCCTATATAACTTACCCCTTATCCCCGCGATCATCCTGGTAGCTAACCGTTGAACCCTCTCAATTACAATGATATCCTTCTTCATTTAAGGCGCTCAAGACTGCACGCATTATTTTAACTGCGGTCTAACTATCGCCTTATATAGAGGTATTAAAACAATAGTGGCGTGGCATCCCAACTATTAGAATTTCTAAAAACCATCTATTTTTAAAAAGGTATTTTAGAAAAATCGATGTCAGATTCAGCCGAAATGGAAGAGATTTTCCTTTTGGCTGATTCTGAGTCATTTGTTAAAATTTACTTTGTTTTATTCAACCTTAAATAACTTTGTACGGAAATTATAAATACCGCAACTGTAGTGGCTGACTGGGGGTAGCCATCTTGATTGTTTAACTTACCACTGTTATTTCCCCATTTTCCTCGCACAGGCCATGCAGGCGGAGAGAATCACCTCAAGGTTAAGGAGCTGAACAGACCAATCAGGACCGACCGAACCACCCATGAAAGACCCAAAGAACTCTGATTGGCTGCTGTGTCTTCCCCAGAACCTTCACCCTATATATACCCATGTACAATTTTATAATATACACGTGTTTCCAGTAAAATAGACGTTTCTCCACTCCTCTGTCTTCTGCTGAGTGCTATGGTATCGTCAGGCGTTGAATACTCGATCCTTGTCCTTCCTCGTTGCAGGTAGTCACGTATTGCAAGTTTGGCATCCAAGGTGGGACCGAAAACGACTAACATGCTGCACAAAGATTTCCGAATTTTCCAGTCCGCAAAAGAATTCCCACGATTGTCCGGTCCGTTTGCGGAAGTTGAGGCAAAGATGGAGACCGCATCGCCTCACGAACGCATTCCACCGCTCATGGCTCCGGAGAAATTCATATCTGGTAAAGATTTTGACGTTTGGGAATCGCAAGTACGACACTTTGTTCGCAGGCTTCCGTCATCATATCGGGCAGATGCAGAGATTAGCCTGCTAACGAGGGAGGCTTACAAGTCAGTAATGGACTTCGACCTCCTGGACGATGTGGGCATCCTGTTGGTGACCGTGAGGCGGAGATTGGCGGGATCAAAAACGGCATTCGAATATTGGAAAGAGTTTTACATGAGACAGCAACGACCCGAGGAAAGTCTGATGGACTATATGGGGTCCGTGCGGCGTCTGGCTTGGTTGGCATACCCCATGTATACAGTCGAGGAACACAATTCACACATTCTGGATCGGTTTCTGGCTGGGCTCAGGGAACCCAGAATCAAAGATGAACTACAATTATGGCCACCGAAAGACCTTGCCGAGGCAGAGTCAACTGCCGAAATCCTGGACCAGAACGGGCACCTGGTAGGGCAACCTCAAGGAGTTTCTGCTGCAGGGTTCAGACAGGAAGGGAGAGCACCAACCAGAGAAAATGGCAAAAAGAAACCCCCAATGACACCCATATGCTACACCTGTCATCAAACCGGGTATTCCTCGCGGTTTCGTGGAGAGCGAGGAGGACCGAGTAAGTCCATATCAACAGTTGGTAATGCCAATAATTTCACTGCTGTGAGTATGGGCGCGGGGTTACCATTTGTTGAGGTAAAGGTGGAGGGCAAAACAGTTAACTGCTTGTTAGATTCCGGGTCAGTCCGCAATTTGATAAGTAACAAGGAGACTGTTTGGAAATCCAAGGCCAACCACTCGAAGGAAACTCCCTTGGTCGCAGTAAATGGTTCACCCCTAACTGTACACGGAAGGGTGGATTTGACGGTACGAGTAGGCAAACAGAAAGTTAATCACCAATTCACGGTTGTAGAGAACCTCCCAGTTGCCATCGTGCTGGGGGCCGACTTTCTACGAATGACCAAGAGTATCAATAATCTGGGCACACAACGGGTCTCAATAGGCGGTTCCTGGGTGAACTTCAAGATGGAACAGAAAGAGATGAGTTCGCACATAAACGTGCAAGCACAGTCTTCAAAGGCTGCGGAGTTGGAAAACTTCGTAGCATTCGTTTCTGAAGGAGTTCTCGGGGATACCCAAACTCAGTTCCGGAAACTCGTGCAAGAATACCACTCAGTCTTTGCATGGGAAGGGGAACCACTCGGTAGAACCAAGTTGGTTCAGCACAACATAGACACAGGAGACACAAGACCAATGCGACAGGTACCACAACGAGTACCCATCCACCGGCAAACAGAGTTAAACAACCTAATAGGAGAGACGCTCCAACAAAACATCAATAAACCGTCTAAATCCCCTTGGGCCTCGCCAGTGGCCCTGGTTAAGAAAAAGAACGGGTCGTTACGCATGTGCGTGGACCATCGGAAGCTGAATGCAGTCACACGTAAGGACTCGTTTCCACCGCCTCGCATCGATGATACGCTGGACGCACTGTCAGGTTCCAAATGGTTTTCTACTTTGGATCTTGCATCGGGGTATTTGCAGGTCGAGGTGAACCCCAAAGATCGGGAAAAGACGGTGTTTGCAATCCCTACTGGTCTATACGAGTTTAATACCACTCCATTCGGATTAACAAACGCACCCGCGACGTTTCAAAGACTGATGCAGATAGTCTTAACCAGCCTGTCACCAGAGGAATGTGTATTATACTTAGACGATATAGTTATCACCGGCGGCTCGATAGAAGACCACCTTCGACATTTAAGGGACGTTTTCGCGCGCCTACGAAAGATAGGGTTGCGACTAAACCGTAAGAAGTGCGTATTTCTTAAACAGGAGGTGAAATACTTAGGACAGGTCATCTTGCCACAAGAAGTACGTAGCGACCCCGGCAAGGTCAAACATGTGCAGCAGTGGCCGACACCAGCCAACTTAGAGGAGGTGAGAAGTTTTCTTGGGCTGGCAGCGTACCACCGAAGATTTGTCCCTCAGTTCTCTACGATTAGTGCCCTCATAACCGAGCCGTTGAAGAACAGACAGAAGTTTTATTGGAGTGACGGTTGTTCAAAAGCATTTGGTCGACTAAAGGAATATCTATGTTCAGCCCAAATCCTTGCACTTCCAGATACCAGTTCGGCGGCCGGTCAATTCGTGCTGGATACAGATGCCAGTGATGTTGGTACTGAAGCAGTGTTGTCACAAATGTCCCCGGATGAGACCGAAAGAGTTGTCGCTTACGGTAGTCGAACGCTAAACAAAAGTGAGCACAACTACTGTACGACTCGTAAGGAGATGCTGGCTGTCGTTCATTTGGTGCGGCACTTTCGTCACTTTTTGCTGGGGCAAACGTTCCTGGTTAGAACCGACCACTCGTCACTATAATGGCTGCAGAATTTCAAAGACCCAGAAGGTTAAGTGGCGAGGTGGCAAGTGACTCTGCAGGAATACCAGTTCGAACGTCAATAAAGCTCAAAAGCGAATTACAAAAACGCGGATGCTTTATCGAGGCGGCCGTCGAAATGTCATGGTGGCT